CTGTTCTCCTCTATGTCACCTATCCACCATGATATCCTTTATGTCATCCATCCACCGTGTTCTCCTTTATGCCATCCATCCCCCATGTTCTCCTTTATGCCATCCATCAACCATGTTCTTCTTTATGGCATCCATCCATCCTGTTCTCCTTTATGTCATCCATCCACCATGTTCTCCTTTATGTCATCCATCCACCATGTTCTCCTTTATGTCATCCATCCACCATGTTCTCCTTTATGCCATCCATCCACCATGTTCTCCTTTATGCCATCCATCTACCATAGTCTTCTTCTCCCTTTCCCTTTCCTTACCTATCTCTCTACCACAATACTGCATAGCTCTTCAACAGACAAGTTTTTTGACTCTTTGTAGCACATCTTCATCTGTGGCCATGTCAATCTAGTTGGCTTTTAGGATCCTCCTGTAGCACCACAATTTGAAACTTGTGATCTTTTTTTTTAGGCATTGAAGGAAATGTAATAAGACTGTAGCAGCCAGAATCTGGAGTGGCTGTTCAGGGAAACCAGTTGGCTTCCATGTTTCATTCCCAAAGCTGGACCGAACAAGCTGAAGATAAATGCTGAACGGTTGCAGTGCACAGCTGCTCCAGATTTTATTTGCTGTAGTTCTGATACATTTCTCCAACTGTGAGGGTTAAAGGTCTCTTTTCCATACCTGAAAACACACCAGACTTTGTTCGGCCTTGCAGATTCCAGATCCGAAATCAATAGTTCTTCAGTTTTTTATTGATTCTGTATTCCAAGGTATTGGAAGTTGGTTACTTGCTCTATTCTTTTATTTTCATGGATTAGTTTTACTTCTGTGTAGTTCATATATATGCATTCAGTCTGTTTATCTCTCCTAAGCTTTAAGACACGAAACTTAGGCAGTTGACTCCATTGAGTTTTCCAGTCATGTCTTGCTTTAAAAGGCTTCAGGTTTTTCCTGTTCTCCAGCTGGACTTGAAGATAGGAATACTGGCAAAGAAGCTTTACCCAGGGGGAGAAATAGCTTCATTTAATTAAAACATTTTAATAAGTTTCACTTTGCTTGTTGTTGTTTTGCTGTGTTTTTGTATCCATTTTGCTGTGTGATATGACCGTTAAACGAAAAGCCTCCTTTAAAGTGCACTGTTATGACTCCATATAGTTCATACTAGCCTGGGGTGACTGACAGTGATGAGCGAATCGGGGGAGATTAGAGATTAACAGTTTCTTATTCTGAATATTTGAATGTTGACCTTCAAAGGATCAGGCAGTCTTAAAAATCCAAGTGATTGTGATTCATCATATGCACTGTATGATCCTCCATTTAAAAGTCAAATCTCCATACATTTCAGTCAACAAAAACAATTTAAATGTATAAGGTTGCTTGACTGGCAAATCGATTTGCTCCTCAGTAACTATATATGGTGTAGATTTCCAAGAATACCATAGACAACAAGGGAAGCAAACAAATGGATCCTTCAACAAACCAACACCAACCTTTCATTGGGCTGAAGATGTCCTGACTTGGACATATTTTGAGAAGAACCAAATCCTTAGAAAAAGACAGATTATACTTGGAACATTTAAGAGGAACAGAAGAAAAAGATGATGACCAGGAATCAGGTGGATGGATACAATCACAAAAATTATGTGTGATGGGAGTCACTTTGGGTAGGGGGCCCATGGAACCCAGCTCACTTTGGAGAGGTGGGGAGACCCCTTGTCAGCACCGGTGGTAGTGAGCTTTTATGGATCCTCAACTTGGGGTTTCCCAGGGCGCGGAGTCTAAGCCTCAGCCTGCTTGTTCACCAGAGCCCCTGATGGTGGGGATGGACTTGTAGCAAGCTGGGACCAGGTCGCAGCCCCCAGGTACACCTAGCTGAGGTGGAGGAGACCACTCACGGGAGCAGGGTATCTTGGGAGAAGACAAGCGGAATACGATAGGCAAGCTGAGGTCAGGACAGGCAGAAAACAAGCAAGGCCAGAGAACGAAGCTGGGGTCGGTACACAGGTAGTCAATATTGGATTCAATCAACAGAAACACAGAGGAGCTCCAGCAACTAGGAAGTTGCTCAGGCAAAGTGGCCTAATCTGAGCACATCTTATATAGACAGGCAAACAAGGAGGTGGGACAGGAAGTGATGGAAGGGAAGGAAATAAAACCCAGAGGACAGCAGACGACACCCATAGATGAGCACAGACAAACATGAGAAGGGGTCAGGGACAGGACTGCAGCAAGAAGGTAGGAACACAAACAAAACTGCAGTCTAACATGTGACACCCCTGTCTCAGCTCCCCATATCCCTCTTATGTGTAAATCCCCCTGTGCCTGTTAGGGGTACAGGGTGATCTGTCCTAATATTTTGTAGACATGTCTAGGAGATGGGGGGGGGGGGGTTGTGAATTGTTTGGTGTCATGTGGTTGCATCCCATTGTTCTATTGTGTGTCTGGCTTGGAAGCAAACTATTATGGGATGTATGTGTTTATGTGTATTATCTTAGTGAGGGGTGTCTCCAGCAGCCCTCCCTCCTGATGGGACTGTCTGTTGGTGTGTCTCTTGTTACTAAATGTAGATTGCCCCGCCCTGTGTCATTATGCAGGTAGGGGGGATTGCCCCGCCCTGTGTCATTATGCAGGTAGGGGGGATTGCCCCGCCCTGTGTCATTATGCAGGTAGGGGGGATTGCCCCGCCCTGTGTTATTATGCAGGGAGGGGGGATTGCCCCGCCCTGTGTCATTATGCAGGGAGGGGGGACTGTCCCGAGTGTATATATCTTGTATCTGTATTAAAATAAAGTAGTCTACCTCCTGGTTTACTTCAAATCTGGTGTCATCCGGATCTTGGGGTAACAATAGCCAGAGTCACTGGTCTCGTGTTCCAGAGCCTGAGAAGCAGCTTCTTGACGGAGATACCCAGTCGTGGGTGTCTGGGGTCCGTTACATTATGAACATGCCGTCATTAAGGCTTAATACAGAAGATGAAATATGCTACATAATAAAGTAGACTTCAATTGTCAACCCCCCTCACAATGGTGGCGCAGCAGCAGGGCATGTGGGCCTTAACATTCAGCCGCTACACATATGTGTCTGTGGGGCTCTGAGGTTGTGTGCTGAGAGTACACTCAGAGCAAGGTTACCGAGCTATCACCAACAGTTCCTGACCACCAGCCAGCAGGATGGGCTACTGATACTATGACTGTTCTGACAGCCAATTACAGCGATCATATGATTGAGGAGCCACATCTGTGTCCTGGTGTTAACGCCCCCTTGGGCCATGGGAAGGTGGCAGGAAAGTGTTAGACATGTCAGTTCATGTCAGTGAACCCTCCTTGTAAGGTGCTACGTTGATAGGTAAATGTAATTCTTTTGGGGCTGTCCTGTATTTGGGGAATAGCATCTGATTGCTTTGGACTAATCAGGGTCTCGCAGGCTGCAGGCTTGATTGCCTCTCCCTGCCCTGCCTAGGTGTGGAGCAGGACAAATGAGATGCCTGAATACTTATGGGGTTTCAAGCAAATCCCTGGGAAGGTGGCCCAGTAGGTGGCTGCATTTTACATAAATAGTCTGAGGTCTGGAGCAGTCTTGTTCTTGTCCAGGGGGAGACGGTCCCAGCCTGGAGGGCTGCTGTCCTCTCAGGCAGCCCAGCTGAAATTTGCCTCAGCTCATCAAGGTCCCAGCTATGCTGGGGGGCCTACTTGCCAAGAACCTCTGAAGCTAAACAAGGGGGATTTCACCTAGGATCCAGGCTGGTGAGATCACTGAGGAAGTGTCTGCCTAATACTAGAAGAAGGCATTCAAGTATTCAAGGACCCGGTGAGAACAGACCTGAGCAGTGCTGGGACAGGTTCATTCAGTACCCAGGGCTAGGATGTGGAACTGCGCCCCCCCCCCCCACTCCTAATATATGTCGAAGAATGGATGCACCGTCCTGTGACCATTCTCTGCCTCCTGTTGATTGGCTGCCATGGAATGGCCAATTGCTTGCTTTCTAGCACCTAACAAACAGTTGCACATGCATTGTGTGTTTTTCATGTCAGCTGTGGGCAGATGGGGTTGAAAGTGGGCATGTTGAGGAACATGGGACATCAGTAGAAGTCAGAGCAGACCTGGATCTGCAGCCTGCTGCTTGCTAGCCACCGATCTTGAGATTGCATGCTGTGATGGGGCACTCTCTCTACCGCTGCACCCTGGGTGGCTGCCCCTCCTGGCCAACCCCTTGTCACAGCCCTGAGAGCTGCAGATTTGGGGTGATTGTTGTTAGTTTTTTGTGCACAATACAAAGGCTTGCCTGGCCTGGAACATTCCTTATGTTGTCCCAATGCTGTCCATGCCCTGAGCTATTGTTGAAGGGACTGTTCTAAGAAGTAGCTTTAAAGGGAAGAGTGTCCTCCTGTTACTGTTCTGGAGGAATCCCACAGCTCCCTGTGCCCTATCCAAGTTGTTCTGCAAAAAAATACAAAAAAGGCAACCCCTAGACTATTCATTGAGCCAGAAGAGTGAATGTTGCTGTGTGCCTAGCTGCCACTGCACTATCGGGAGAGGAACCTGGGACAATCAGCGGGCCCTTGGAGGGTGAGCACTGCAGTAGCAGCTATATCAGTAGGGATCCTGGGGGCCCAGCAGCTATGGGACTTGCAGGTCCACTTTCTCTGATAGGATCACCATGCAGCTGTCCCTTTATACCAATTACTACACTGTCACCCATTGTATTGTGCTATTCCTGGTTGGTCTACAGCAAGAAGCTGTGACATCCGAGGGATTGTGGCCGAAATTGTGGTTAGTGTTCCTTACCAAGCACCAGCTTGTCAGTCAACAAATAGGACACGCCCATTCCCTGCCCGCCTGCTCCTATACCCGAAAATGCACTGAGAGTAATTTGCCAATTGAGGTTAGTCCCAAAGCCAAAGTGGCCAAGATGAGAGGAATAATTGGAAATGCAGTTCACTCTGGGTGGCACAGCAGGAAGCACACTTATCAGAATGGACATTCAACTGTAGCTCTGCTAAACTCCAGCATCAGTATTGGGATCCTAAAGGTGAGGCACTGAACAGCGTGGAGCTCGCAGTGTGCAGTGAAATCAGAGGAAGCCATTTCACTCCAGGAGAGGAGCCGGTACACCTGTGCAAGACTGGAGGGGAGGAGCCAGTACACCTGTGCAAGACTGAAGGGGAGGAGCCGGTACACCTGTGCAAGACTGAAGGGGAGGAGCCGGTACACCTGTGCCAGACTGGAGGAGAGGAGCCGGTACACCTGTGCCAGACTGGAGGGGAGGAGCCACTACACCTGTGCAAGACTGAAGGGGAGGAGCCGGTACACCTGTGCAAGACTGGAGGGGAGAGCCAGTACACTGGCAAGGGGAGGGGAGGAGCCGGTACACCTGTGCAAGACAAGAGGGGAGGAGCCAGTACACCTGTGCAAGACTGGAGGGGAGGAGCCGGTACACCTGTGCAAGACTGGAGGGGAGGAACCGGTACACCTGTGCAAGACTGAAGGGAAGGAGCCGGTACACCTGTGCAAGATTGAATGGGAGGAGCTGGTACACTTGTGCAAGACTGAAGGGGAGGAGCCGGTACATCTATGCAAGACCGAAGGGGAGGAGCCGGAACACCTGTGCAAGACTGGAGGGGAGGAGCCAGTACACCTGTGCAAGACTGGAGGGGAGGAGCCGGTACACCTGTGCAAGACTGGAGGGGAGGAACCGGTACACCTATGCAAGACGAAGGGGAGGAGCCGGGTGCAAGACTGAAGGGGAGGAGCCGGTACACTTGTGCAAGACTTTTTCCTTTCCTTTTTCCTTTCATTTCCATTTCCTTTTTCCTTTTTCCTTTCCTTTTTTCCTTTTCCTTTCCTTACGTCTTTCCATTCTTTTTTCTTTCCTTTCCTTCCCTTCCTTCTTTTCTTTCTTTCCTTTCCTTTCCTTCCCTTCCTTCTTTTCTTTCCTTCTTTTCTTTCTTCCTTTCCTTCTTCTCTTTTTTTCTTCCATTCCTACTTCTTTCCTTCTTTTTTTCTTCCTTTCCTTCTTTCTTTTCTTCCTTTCCTTCTTTTTTTCTTCCTTTTCCTTTTCTTTTCTTTCTTTCCTTTTTTAAACTCCTGCACAAAGCACACAAAAATATTGGTATTTTGGTATTTTTTGTGCTTTTAGCAGCAAATCACAACCACACCTCCCGAACCCCCAAAGAAGCTCCAGTGCGAAATGCGTTGGACCCGGCACATCCTCCGTTTCATAGACCAAGCACACTGTATGATTTGTGGCAAGCATTATATGATTTCATGTGTCTATGTAGGAGGGGAAGTGCACTGTGGGGATTGTGATATTGAGGATAAAATTGAAGTTCTGTGGCTTCAGTATGGTTTGATTTTATCTTGTGGGAATACGGAATACTCCACTCATTTTTTAATTGATTGCACAATAAAAGTTGTTCATTATATCATAAATAGTGGTTGTTGTTACTCTGACAGAAGGTTCCAGCGCTTAAAAAAATCCAAATTTTTTTAAAGTTTCTTTATTAATTTGCAATTAAAAATGTGCAAAAATGCAAATGCCATCTAACCCGAATCAACTCATTCCATCTTTTATTAATTCTTCCACCACAAATGATGCTGTAATCTCATCGCAAAAAAAAGAACGATTAAGCGCTGAAAACTCCGTATAGAACAATGCCGAGCCAGCATTATGGGAAAACTAATTGGGCCAGTGGAGAAAAGTACAGAATTTTTTTTTTTTTTTGTTAAAAGAACCCCAATTTAATTAAATCAAATAGAAAAAATATTAATCTCTCTAGCTATGTACATATATAATCACCGTGTGCCTATTTAAGTACAAAGGATTGAATTTGTCGAGTCCTTCAGCCTCCACGTCGTCATGGTAACGATAATTCAAGAATAAAAACCTCACATCTCGCAGAACAAAGAGGCCAAACAGAAAAAAAACGCAGGAAAAAAAAAAAAACTGAATGGAATTCGCCGTTTTACTGACGAACCCCTGAGAGAGGGCCGCGTGGTGTCTCGTCAATGGAGAAAGAAAACATCCAAATTCATTCGGAAATTTTTGGGCACGGTTTTGTCTCTTGAGAGGATGTAGATTATAAGGCAGCAAAAAACAAGAGGCAATGTACGGGCTCAGGGACAAAAAACAATGTGCGATGTACAGAGGGAAGTCATTCAAGTTAAAGAAGAAATAATTCAAAGGAATTCCCAGAGACTTTTGCTGATATAACGTAGGAGCCGAACGCTTGAGGAAGGCCAGATGCCATTCTTGTTTTTTTAGTGATGAAAAGTTTGGAGTATTTTTGAAATGTGATGTTTAAAGTGTTCCTGTACCTAGTAAAGTCCCAGAGGCACCCTTTACGTACTATACCTATTTACCATCACATCAACCTATAGGATAGGTGGACCCCCCTCCACATGATGGAGTGCAGTTGTCTCCAGTGAAGAGTACTGTCAATACTACAAAGATATTGTAGACAATTGTATTCTTCCAACCTTGGGGTGACAGTTTGATGAAGACCCTTTTCTGTTCCACCATGACTCAACCCTTGTGTACTCAGCCTGCTCCATAAAGACATGGCTTGACCAGTTTGGTGTGAAGGGACTCTGTCAGGGACCATCGCGACGCATGGGTCTACACAGGCGTAGGTGTCTGCCAAGACGTGTAGGTGGCAGGGCACTAGGACCCAGGCGCACCCGTCGTCGCCTTGACAGTACTAGGCAGGCACTAGGACCTAGGCTGCACCTGTCAGGTGCAGGGTGGGCTATTTAAAACAGCCCTGCACAGACACTTGTTGCCGAATGGTCTTTGTATGCTGTTACCTGTGTTGTGAGTATCTTGATCTGGATTGTTTGACCTTGCTGCCTTCTCCTGTCCTGACCCTTGGCCTGCCTGACTCTGCTCCTGGATGTTCCCCTTTAAATCTGATCTTTTGGTATTGACCCTGCGTGTGACCCGACTATCCTTTACCTACCGTTTTGTACCTCACCGATCCGCTAGTTACCGACCCGGCCTGTAAGACTCTGATTTAGCTCATCCATCCATCCCGCAGGGATCACTAGGCTCCCTCACATCAGACTCTTAGCCCCCGGGAGCTCCTGTCAGACTCCTCTACCCCTGTTGGAGATACCTAGCAGCTGAGACCTGGTACTGGAGCGCTCCAAGTCCATCCCCACCATCAGGGGCCCTGGTGAACAAGTGCTCCGGTGCTTAGACTCCGCACTCTGGGGAGGCTCTGCCAGGGGATTGATAGAGGTGCTGTCAGGCGGTCCATTACAGACTCAAATGTCCTGCGCACAGCACTGACCTCAACCCTACTTAACACCTTTCGGATGAGCTAGAAAGAGCCAGGTCTTCTCATCCAACATCTCTATAAAGACATAGTTTGACCAGTCTGGTGTGGAGGAACTCGAGTGAACCCTACTGAACAACATTAAGATGAATTAGGAAGAGCCAGGTCTTCTCATCCCTTCCACATAGTTTGACCAGTCTGGTGTGGAGAACTCGAGTGTCCTTCACAGAGCCCTCACCTCAACCCTACTGAACAACATTAAGATGAATTAGGAAGAGCCAGGTCTTCTCATCCAACATCTCCATAAAGACATGGTTTGACCAGTCTGGTGTGGAGGAACTCGAGTGTCCTTCACAGAGCCCTGACCTCAACTCTACTGAACACCATTAAGATGAATTAGAAAGCTTATTGTGAATCAGGTCTTCTCATTCAACATCACTTCCTGACCTCAACCCTCCTAAACACCTTTTGAATGCATTGAAATGCCAATTGTGAGCCAGGTCTTCTCTTACAACATCAGCACCTGACCTTAACTCTACTGAACACATTTTCGATGACTTGGAACACTAATTGTGAGCCAAGTCTTTTCACCCAACTGCAGTACCTGACCTCAACTCTACTGAACACCTTTGGGATGAATTGGAACCTCGATTGTGAGCCAGGTCTTCTTATTCCACAGCAGTACCTGACCTCAACTTTACTGCACACTTTTAGGATGAACTGGAAAGCTGATTTTGAATCAGGTCTTTTCATTCAACTAGTTTGCTAGAATCAGCTCTAGTTCTAATTGTTAGTTAGAGGCTGAGTAGCAACCTGGGTGTGAAGCTGAGGGGCTTTGCACACTAGCTTTCTGAGACTTCCCCCTGCTCTGGAACTTTAGAGAAAGATCTAGAAACAGTGGGTGGAGGTGGGGAGTGGCTAGTCTGTACTCTTAGAGGATTCTGGCCCATCCCCAACAGGTGGCTTGGCAAGGGGCAAGGACAGCCTTTAAGAGTAACTGAGACTGCTCAGCAAGCGGGGAGAGAGAGAGTTTGGATGGAAGATATAGAGGAAGTCAGGCTGGAGAGCAAGAACCTGGGAGGGGGCCAAGATGGAGAGGGGCTCACCTACAGGCAGAGGAGCTTGGAAAGAGGAAAGCTCAGGACTTCACCAGCCCCCAGAGTGAGGACCACCTGTGCAGCAGGGAAGGAGAGCCTGGTAGCAGCCACCAACCCACCAGTGGCAAAGAGGAAAGGACTGAGTGAGTAGACATGCATCTTTTGGGCCAGTAAGGGTGAAGAGGCACTCTGGTGGGAAACTGGATTAGCTCTTTACCCAGAACTGTTCACTCTGCAGTGGCAGATACTGGATCCCCTGCCCAGGGAAACACCCAGTACAGCCGAATGAGGAGATGATTCATCTGGGGTGGTATTACAGGAGATACTGGCTAGCTCTCCAAAAGAGACTGTTTGCTGTAAAGACTTGTACATAGTTGCTAAGGAGTTTGTCCCCTTGCCATTACCCTTGGGCATCCCATATACCCCTTACCCCATCCAAGTTCAATTTCCCTAATAAAACTTCAAAACAAAGCTCAAAGACTGGTTACTGTCTCCTGGATGCAAGTCTGTGTGAGGGAAATGAGGGTTGCCTGGCTATGCAGGACTATAAGGGGACCCAAATTTCAGCGACTCCTAAGGAGGTAGTGCTACACAACATAAGTACTTGACCTCATCTCTATTGAACACCTTTAGGATGAACTGGAAAGCCGATTGTGAATCAGGTCTTCTCATCCAACATCCGTAGCAGACCTCAACCCTTCTGAACACCTTTGAGATGAATTGGGGCACCAGTTATGAGCCAGTTCTCTTCCATCATCATCATATCCAAACGTGCCCTACTAAACACTTTTCGGATGAATTGGAACACTAGGCTCTCTCTTCCACCATCAGCACCTGTCATGCACTTCTATAAGGAACCCAAGATGATGAGGTGACCTCTTGCACAATTCCCATACAGGCACCCCTGGAACTTAAAATAGAGCCTGCAAAAGTACGAGAAGGACACAAGTGCCTGGGAGCTGAAACTGGTGACTGGAATTCTGAAGTGCTGGTATCAGATGTGCAGGAGTAC